TCCCCGGGGGGAGCCAACCCACTTTTTGCCGGGTCCCCCCCCCCCCCCCCCCCCCCCGACCACAACGCCCGCTTACAAAGCAACACTACGCCAGATTCACGCACGCCCTCGACATAGTGGCCTCTTGAGACTCTCTCTCTGACTACATACGGTACGGACGAGCATCGCACACGGAAACCAAAAAAACGTTTAAAACAGCAAACGCCGGATCACACGCTGCCCCCAATAGCACAATAATGGGACGAATCCAGATTGGCGGTGAAGGAATGGGGTTTGTCCATGTGTTGCTAAAAAGCTTCCTGAAAACAGGGAACTATCGGGCAGGAGCACCCTTGCTGCTGTTGCTGCTGCTCCCTCTTCGTCTAAACCGGCGAAAGTATTCATATGCATACAACTCCGAGTTATTTTTTTGCGCCCCCAAGTGTGTGGTCGTTTCAACCCTGACTACAATCATGTGTTGACGCGCACCGCTTGTTACGCACCAAACATCACACCAAGAAAAGGCATCGGGGACCCCCGTAAACACCAACATGCAGCGAGCGAATGTGGTGTTTAGCCACCATGTTCTTCACGCACCGTGTGGCTGTGCTGGCGATCGTTGCACATGAGTGCTCCTCCCCTCCCGTCGAGAACAGCGAAGTCCCCCACGAAGACTACGCGGTTGTCGCCAACATGGTCCAGGGTCTCCGCAGCAGGGGGTCCCGACACGCCAGCCGTCGGCTTTGCGGGGGGGGACGCACACGCGAAGGGGGGGGGGGGGAGGAGATTCAATAAACACGCAAATCCAAACAACGACTAACAACGTGCAGAACCATGCATCATGGTACGACAGAGAAGAGAGGGGACAAGCACTCAAGTGCACGACAGCGAACGCCTCTACTACGTCAAGGAGCTCCCTGAAACGGTGGGCTCTAACGACCGACTCGACCGAGAACCGAACGGCCAACATCCGGTACTCACCCCGCCATACCACCTCCTCACCGCCCCGTTCGGCTCAACGATGCCCTCCTCAGCCTCCTCTTCCTCCTCCTCCTCCTCCTCCTCTTCCTCCTGCTCGGCTGCTGCCACCATGTCCATGTTCTCTTGGTTGGGATCGTTTTCATTGAAATCCTTCAAGAGGCAGTGCCAGACGTAGGGGGGCGGGGGAAAGGGCGCCCGAATCATGGAGTGTTATGTTTCGTGTTTCATGCTCCGTGGTGCTGGTGGAGAGAAACAAAGAGAGAAGAGATAGACAAACAGACACTCCCGGCCGTTCCGAAGAACCTTCCACCCTTCTCCCACCCCTCTCCCGACGACGGAAAGGTACAGCGGAAAGGTACAACAGCCTGGCGGCGGCACGTGTAGATACCTTCCGAGGAATCACGCGGGCGAACAATGCGGAGGGGCGCTGGAGCACGACCTCTCCCTGCCTGCGTGCGGTGAGTCTCTGACCCTTCCACCCGTCTCTACAGCCACCAACTATAGGCCTGGCTCCGACACAAGAGGGTCCTAATCGTTGTCACGGACTCGACCCGCTATAGTACGGTTGGGTACTCTCTTATTCTGGTATTAAAAGAGGGGGCTCCGACAAAAGAGGGCCAAGGCCTTTGTCACACCACCCTCTAATATCGTAGCCACGTCTGTACACAAAACAGACCACGACGACGAGTGCTAGCTTTGGAGAAAAACACACGGGTCGCCGATCGAGCATTAGCTGTGTCCTAACACAGAACAAATAGTCTAGACGCGCACGCCACATCCCGACTGTGAAACCCCAACCACTCCCGAAACGCTCCCGGACAGCTCTCGTCGCAAAACCACGAGCTGTTGTAGATACATTTTCATCTTGCGACGGGTACTTCATGGACCTCACTGACTCGATCGAACCCCTCTCCTCCCTCTCCCATCCCTGCACTTTTCCCGAATAAGGAGCTGAGACGATTTCAAGACAACAGGCCCCACCGACCTCCCCCCCCCCTCACATACCGCCGAAACCGCTGGTGGCATGGCAAAGCTTGCCTCACGCGGCCAGCTTTAGTCCCCATCCCGCTCCCCGTGCCACGCACCCACAACCTAATCCGCAACACATTTTCCCAAACTATCCGCTCTTTCCCCCCCTTCCGTCAAAAGCCACTGCACCCCCTTCCACCCGACAGCCGCACTTTAGCAGACGAAAAATCACACAAGTTAGCGCTGACTGGTCTTAAGCCCACGCACGGCGACAACGATCGATCTCAATTTCCTCTCATCCCTCTGAAAAACTCACGTTGTACCCTAGCTCGCCCTGTTGCTCCGCTGGCCACTGGCCGTTCTCTCCACCTTCCCCCTCCTCCCCCCCCTCCTCCATCCCGGGGAGGACCTCCTGGCCGTTCCCCCCCTGGTCGACCATATACACCGCGGCGACTGGCGGCGGCTGCGGCGGCGAGCTCCCCCCGCTTCCCGCCTCTGCGTCGTCGTCAAAAACGCCTCCTCCTCCTCCTCCACCGCCGCCGCCGTTGCCCTCCCCGTATTGGTGCGGGTGTTGCTGAGTTGCTTCTTCCTCCACCTCCTCCTCCTCCTCCTCCTCTTCCTCTTCTTCCTCCTCTTCTTCCTCCTCTTCATCGACCCCGGCATCGGGGGGGTCGCCCCCTCCGTTCTCCGTGGCCACGTCGTCGAACTCCTCCCCGCCGCCTTCGTCTTCTTGCTCCAGCTGGTCGTCGTCGTCGTCTCCGTCGCCGTCGCCGCCGCCGCCTTGCCCTCCATCGTGGTGGTGGTTGTTCCCTGGTTGGTCTATGATGGCGACGTCGTCGTTGTCGTTGTCAGCGCCAACGCCGCCGCCGTCGGCGTCGCTGCTGTTGGCGTCGCCTCCTCCGGGAACAGCAGCAGCGGCGGCGGCAGCAGGTTGCTGCTGCTGCTGCTGCTGCTGCTGTGGCTGGTCTTCTTCGTCCTCCTCCACACTCTCGTTGTCGTGGTCGGAGTGGTCGTCCATGGCTCTCGTCGCTGCTCTACCTCACGCTTCCTGGTGCACGAGTCGTTGTCCTCTGGCTGTTGGCTCTTGGGCTACGGCAGGCGCGCGGGGTGGGGGGACACAACACACACAGACAGACATTTGCAGAGAGGGGAAGAGAATAAGAGTAAAAACAACGGTCGTGAATATTAATTTCGGTGAATATGAATGCTGAAATTCCTTCACGCTAGTGACAGAGTCTTCGGCGGCACGATCAATACATGATGTGGAAACTATACGTCAATAGAGGACGGACATCATATGGGCAGCGACGAGCGTCCTGCTTCGGTCATGCTACATATCGAAGGCCGAGCGCCGTCACAGTAGCTGTGTCCTGCACAAATGTCCGCAAAAAAAAACTGGGTCCAAGGCATTTCATAAGGATACCTTTTTTAGGATAAGTTAAGCCTGTTACCACGGGAATCGACCGCGTCAAGTGTTAGGACAGATGGAGGTATTGGTCAGAGAGATCGGATTTGTTAATGTGAAGACAACAACAGCAAGCCATTCATCTTCCACTTCGATACTCACGGCCACAGACCCAATCTCCTGAAATGCGGGTCCGCCAACAGCAGTAGCTCACACCACAAATGTAACAGCCGCCTCGTAGAACCGCACTTCGGAGGTATGGGGATTGGTTGCAGGGATGCACAGGTACTCTACTGACAACATTAGACAAACCGAATGTATTACTTTGGGATCTACAATACACTTCGACATGCAAGTATATTTTTTTACCAATAGGCCGACATTACTGCTGTGCCAGCAAACACAATCGCTGCTCCGTGATGTCTCTAATGAAACAGCACATGCTTTGAGGCGATCGGAGGTCAGGACTATTCCAAAGCCGGAAGGTAGTGGTGGGATTTATCTTGGGTTTAGAGTAGCACCGGTACATCCACATGTCCATCCACACACGACTTGGGGGATTCCGCGCAACACATGGCGTACCCTGCTGCATTCTAAAGCTGCTGCAGCGGTCTGGAATTTTCCCGCACCACGGCAACCAAGCACCGGCTCTTGAGAAGGGCACATGCGAATGTTGCGAGGACGCGTGCTGCAAGAAACCGCACAGTCTCGCGAGCGAACATCAAATCAGCTCCTTATCAGCAGCTCCTCATCAAAAGCTGGGGCACCAACACCGTGGCTCTATTGTCAAAGCTTCACCGATAATGATGGACTCCGCACACAGCAGTCCCCTTTCACTGGCAGTCGACATACAGGGCACTGCACGCCATCCTCAATGCAATAGGAGGAACAGCTACAAAAGCAGCAGCGAACATGGCCGTACATGTACAAAAACCAAATGGTGGATTCAGTTTCTTCCTCTCTCGTCGCTTGTTGCCAGGAAAACACACACAAGCAAGCGTCCCATCTGACGTGGAAGAACACTCCACGCCATGGCAAGAGCAACACCCCACGCTTGCAGAAAGGGCCTTGGACATATTCAACGCCATGGTCAATGGCACAGAGCACAGACTACTTACATAGAGGTGCGTGCACAGCACTGCTGGGTGTAGAAGAGAGAGATGCGGTGTACGCGGATTACGAAGAACATCTGATCTCTGCCGCTCAGCGCGCGCAACATCCAAGTCAAGAGGGGGAATTTGCATGATAGTGTCTTGTGTGTCTACGAAGACGCAAACTCCCGACCGGTAGTATCGTCTCAGGCGGAACAACACACCTCGATGGCAGAGCCCTGTTCCTCACAGCAGCAGCAATCCGGCCCTGCACGCCCCGCTCCCGCAGGATCCAGACCCTTGCGTCTCGCAAGGTTTGGCAAGCGGCCGCACGAAAGGACCGTCACTCTCTCCGAGAGTGTTCGATAATTTCGCGCGACTATCAGGCGCGGCTTCGTTTTGGTCCTTAAGAAAAAAAGCGAGGGATGCACCTCCCACGTAGAACTCGTGCGAGGGAGACGGTACGCCCCAGAGCTCACACAACCTCTGGCGGGGCTTACCGCTGCTCAAGCTTGCTTCGTCTTGCCTGGCGCTCCCTCCACGATCGGCACTCCAAAACCGAGGGGGAGCCGGCAGAGGAAACAATAAAAGGGTATCGGTGTTGAATGCTGCGTATGAATCCACGGCGCCCCTCTTCGCTCGAGTTTGCTCGTTTGCTCGAGTTCAGGCATGCACAGCACAGCAGACCGCAGTCTGTCTGCTGTACGCTGCAGCGAACTGCTGCGGGCTGAGCCGTGTGTGCTCTCATTCATCATCTCTCGCTTCATGCCCACGAAAAGCCAAACACGCAGGCTGAGGAGGAAAAACTAATCGTGATATCGAGTTCGTGCAACCCAAGCGAGAGCAGCAAAGGGCGGCGTATTTGTACGAAGAGTTTCCAGCAGGGAACAACAGGGGTGTGATACGAGACACACAAGACCGCCGCTGCAAAATACCATCATCACTCGATCGACTCTTCCTTCGGGACGGAGGCAGGGAAGAAGAAGGGGGCATATATACGTGAGCTCTCCTCCGCTAGGACCTCTTCGAGTTGCACCACCACACTTTGCTGCCGTACGACAACATCGAACAACATGCGTAGAACTCGTAGATCAAGCTTCGACACAGCCGGCGGCGACGGCGGAGGGGGTGGGCTGGGGTTCGACCAAAAGCGGCGGACGGAGCTCTTGGCCGAGGCGAGGCGGAAGCGGGTGGCCTGGGTCGAGGAGGCCAGGGGCATCGACGACGGCGTCGACGGCGCGAGGAAGAGGAGGGAGGATGAGGCGGCGGCGAGCGGCCGTAAGGCCGAGGGCGAGCTGGAAAGGGTGAGGCGCCAGCAGGGGAGAGTAAGAACAGCACGTACATACGCCTACAATGCTACGGCGTAAATAAGGGCCAACTAGATCATGAAGCTGCCTACTATAATAACTTGTTGCTCTCGAATGGTGCTGCCTGGTCGTTATGGACGTGTGTGTGTGTGTGCGTGTCGTTTCCATACAACGATTAACTATTAGGCTACGACCGTCGCGCGGGTGTTCTGCGTGCACAGCGGTAGATTACTCCGCATAAACATCAGCACAGCGGCGTCGCGCACGGCAACCCTTGCTGAGTTCCCTGATTATTTTTTACAGCACTACACACGACGATGGGCCACGAAGGATTGTTTCCCACTGCCCTCAACTTGAACGAGCACAGAGACACTCCACCACGCGCCGACAGCAGGGGTACCCCGCCCCGCGAGGTTGAAGTGTACAGCGGTACAGTCTAGATTTCTCCCTCTTGGAGCAGGGTGCGCACAGGAGAATGCGGCATGTTCCGCCGTGTCGTCGTGCGGCGGCCGAAGTGCAGAAACAGCCAAAGGGTGCTGCTCTCGATGTTGACGCCATGTCCATCGCACGAAAAAGAGTCTCGCGACAGATAGGAGTGGTTGTCGTCCCTCGCACTGACGCTCTTGCCGATCTTCTCGCGTTGGCACGAGTTGTGCGCCAGTCAGTTGTGCGCCAGTCGGTCGCACAGCAGTGACCCTTACTCTTGTAAACCACCAACGAACGCCGTCGGCCTGCCTGTCGCGGAAAATCGTTGCTCACGGGATGAACGTCCAAGACTTGCCGAAAACAGTAAAAAAGAGGCATCTCTTGCGCCTACACACTATTTATCAGAGACCTGTCAAACGTGGTACCTAGCTTTTCATGAAATGTCCACCGGTCTCCCCACCGCAAAGCAGCAGCCGTTGACACTCGCCGGTGAGTGTGTGATGGCGTTCTTGCGAAGCCTACGATGCTTCCTCTATCCATAAACGACAGGAGCAGTCTTTCTGAAGTGAATGTTAATGTTGTCTAGTTCCACCGTCCGTTTGGACAACGTCCCACCCAATTGGAATGGTGAAACGTGGACCGTGCGCATTCGGTAGTGGTGATCGATCATCATACCGAAGCCACGCTTTGACTACGATCTCATGATATACCACCGGCGTCGAGTCCGAGTCACAGGGTCAATCATGCTTTTCTTTTGTTGGCTCGGAACAACCACCGCCCGGCTGACGAAATCCTGTTCCACCTGCGGGTGACGAGGATAGTTGGAGAATTATTGCACGCACACCGCCACACGAAATATAACTAAACCTATCATTCGAAACTAGTCTGAGCGCCGCCGCACAACTTTCCCGCCGTCGCCATCGCCGCTCCTCATTGGTCGAAACGAAACAGCTCTTCCCGTCCGCGGTAAAGTTTCACGACTTTCTCACCGGACTGGCAGGGGACCGGGACGAGTCTCCGGCGGGAGACATGTCTGCCATACTGCAGCCCTTCATGATAGAGGTGCGGCCACAAACACGACGCGGGATTTTTTTTCTCCCCTCGGCTAGTGTAGGTTTTTGGGTCGGGCTTCGGCCGCAGATGACAAACCCCGCGACACTTGTTTTTGCGTGTGTTGCAACCGGTGCGTGTGTTTTGAGAGTCGTCTGGTAACCTTGTTGGAGCATCCGGCCGTTGTGGAAGGAGGAGTGTGCCACCGAGGGATGCTGGTACATTGCTGTAGTAGTTGTTTTTCTCGATCGAAGTGTGCGCAGAAGCTTTGCGTGTCGGTCACACGGTACAACTCACACAGCGAGTGAAGCTCCGTCTGCAGCAAGGTTCCAGCGGTGCCGGTTGAACTTCGCATGTACCGTACTGGCACTAGAGATACTTGGATTGCAACTGAGGCGGCAACAGCAGCAGCATCAGTATTTTTCGAACCCGTGCATTCACCCACCAGCAACTGTCGTCTCTCTCTACCCCTCCCCACTCCCCCCCTTGATCCCCGTGCCCATATCATTCTGCCGCCCCCCTCCCTTACGTTTTCAGCGATGTTCGTCTCCCTCCTCTACCTCTTCCCATTCCCCCACTCCCTTTCCAGTGGATGAAAGACGTCAACAAGGAACACGGAAAAGTTCGTTCGAAGTCTTGCTTCCTCCGAACCGGGTGTCACGTTTTTCTTCGTAACTATTTTTTTGGCAACTCACGGAGAGATACGATAACACACACGTTGACCATATCACACACACACACACACACGCACACCCGCGCCCCCCCCTCTTCTTTTTTCAGGACGTCGACATCGGGGACGACCGGCCGATCCCCGCTTACCGGGAAGGCTCGGTCCCCTTCGATGTCTTCCTCGACAAGCTCAGGCACCCGCGGGCCGCGGAGGTCGTGAAGAGCCTGCAGCAGTTCGTGGCGGCGTTCAGGGCCCGCGTGGAGGCGCCGCCGGCCCTCGCTTCCCCCGGACCGAGGTGCGTTGTCGGTTGCTGCGTGTGCCCGCCCCGCTTTCTCGGTGCCGCTCAGAAGAGGCCTGTTTGTGGTGTTTTTGGTGTTGGTGTTGGTGTTGGTGTTGTCGGTGTTGTTGTTGTTGTTGTTGTTGTTGTTGCTGTTGTTGGTGTGTTGAACCCTGACACGTTCTGACGTCTGCTGCGTGCCTCATGTACACACGCCTCCGTGTCGCTTCTTGCTTCGACCAAGTGGGAGAGCCTGTCACCACCCAAAAAGTCAGAGATGAGAATGAAAAAAAAACATGCACACGTTTTTTTTTGTGTACAGCAGTAGCTCGTTTGCTGCACCGGATCTAGGTCAACGACCCGGCCCAAAACACAGCAAGCAGGAGAAGTGGAGATCGAAGCATCGTCCCCACCGCGATGGTTAGGTTCTCAACACTTTCATCTGACGATGGGATGCAATGAATTCGTTCGCCGTACTGCGATCGATGCTCGTGTCAAGTTCAGAGGAAGACAACAAGGGAGTACCCCCCCCCCCCCA